ACTCGAGGTCTCAGCAGAATCTTTCTTGTGCACCTTCTCAGCGAAAATCAAATCACGAATATCATCATATTTTAATTTAGATTTATCTGCAGAATTGCTTATGACCATCTTCATGACTTCTTAGCTATTTGACAAGGAAATCAACATTATCAGTGCACGTATCTCATCATCAAATTCAATTTCCACTGACGATAATTGATTTGTGATAACATTAAAATCATTTAGATATTGTGCAACAACTGTACCATCCATCATTTTCAAATTGAATAATTTTTTCATCAAATGCACCATGTTATTCGCTGATGGCTTTTCATACATACCTGACAATGCTGCTATGAGATTTGTAGTTATTCTTTCCTTGATGAAATTGTGTGCAATGAATCTTGACAGAGTTAATCGAATAACCCTCAGAACTTATCGTTCTAATAAATTCCATTCAGCATCGTCCATCTTTTCCAGTCTCTTTTCCAATAACGGAAGATGACTTTCCCTAGAGATAGTTCTCTATCTGTATCATCCAATAACTAAAATCTGTGTCATTAAATTTCTCGATACCTGATACAATCACTTCATCTCCAGCTATCGCTTTCCCTCAGACCTGAAACTGACTCTGATACCAATTGTTGTGAAAAATGATAACAATAAAATGAAAAATTGAAACGAGATATTTGCAAAACATAACGGAACACACAAATTTACGTGGTTCGACAAATTGCCTACGTTTATGGAGTTTCAAAAGATTTTATTACTTTAAGGATTACACTCATCGATCTTTCGACGATTACAAGAAAATTCTCTCTCTTCTCCTTTTCTCTCTCTACCCGAGAGCTACAACCAAGAAGAAGACAAAAAAGGAGCAGCAACACTTCCTTTCGAAAGCCACCGAGAAGAAAAATCCAGGGGAAACCAAAAGCTAGTCTATCTTCCTCACGTAAGCAGAATTGCGAATTAAAGAGGGAGAGCCGTCACATGCATTCAATTCAACATTAATTATTAAGTACCTTTTTTCTGCCGCATATATTTTCTTACCGTCTACTTTGACACAATTAAAGTAGCTAGTTTTAATTCGCGAAAACCACGAAAGGCGGGATGCTGAGAAAAAGCGGGAGTTTATTTAGGAAGGAGAGAAACGAGAGGAGAGATCCACATGAGGAAGGTAAGGAAGAATAATAAGGGAAGAAATAAAGAATATATTTAATTATCAAATATATTCCATAGATGCAAAATTCGCTCAATAAGGATGTAGTGGACCGGGCTCCACATTACTCAACATAGAGGGCCCATGTTTTGCAGATATTTCATCTATCTGCAGTTTGCAAAAAGGTTCTACAATGTATTATTAAAATATTTGGTCCATATAACCTATATTTTTTAGAATTTTAGTAGATGCATGAAATTAGTATAGATTGTCATGCAACTTATGTATAACTTACATGGTCAACCATTGAAGTGCAATTGCCTCATACCTATAAAACAGGATTAAAATTAAAAGAATCCTTTTTGTTTTGTAAATGTAAATTTTCTTAAACATTAAACAATGTGATTTTAATCGGCATCCCTTATGAGATCCATCTTTCTTTGCTACAATGATGTTCCAAAAAAGTAGAGATGCTCTCAAATCAATACTTCTTGAAAGTTTTGATACATAGAGAAAGTTTAGCTCATAATTGAGAAATTTTAGACATTCCTTGATTTTGATTCTTAGTGGAACTACAACTTCATTTTTTTTTCCCAGCGAAGATGTCAATTTCAAAGAATTAATTTTGGTTTTAGTTTCAGATATTTTATTATGAAACCATGTTTTGTGATAAGATAAATGACATAAATGTATATAGTAGAGAAAAGGTTGCAACTTTCTTTATTGCTCTTAATGAGTCATTTTATTGATTTTCATGTCAATTCATTTGCTGGGAATTAAAGAATAAAGCTTGTTAGAATTATTAAATTAAAGAAATGTGTGATTGGATACTGGTTTGCATTAGAAATAATTGAGCGACAAAAGGGTTTCTCGTCAAGGATCGGCATTAAGTCCTTTTATTTTGTATTAACTATGATGATGCTTACCAATTATATTTAAATTGAGGTGCCATGGTATTTGTTTTTGTAGATGATGTAATTATAATTGGTGAGAAATTAGCTAAAGTAAAGAGAAGTTTAGAATAATGAAGCAATTGTTTAGAAGGTAAGAATTAGTTGATAAATAATTGCTTATATTATTTTGTAGTTTTAGTTGATTTTATTTCAATAATTATGAATTAAATTTATTTAAACGTAAATTGATGCAAGCATGATAGATTTGCACCTCTATGCGTGTAATGAACTTATAGGACCTTAATTTCTAAATCGGCCTAACATAAAATAAGGATAACATGTGAACTAAAAGAAAATTTATAAAGAGAACATCAAGTTCAATATTAAACTACTGAGTATTTTGGATTATAAAATCCATTTGTTGTTGGCCGTCTTGGAGTCTATGGTTCCTAATGTAGCTAAGTGATGTAATGAATGGAATCACACGAGTTAGATTTGAAATTCACAATTTCAAAGACCACCAATCAAAACACGAATTCCTTTTCTTTTTTTTTTTTAATAAACTAGAAAATACGAAGAAATTTGCACATTGGACCAATTTAATTATCTCCCAAACCAAAAAAAAAATTGAAAAAGAATTTGAAACCCCTAAAATCTACTCGTATGCTTGCAAAATCATTAATGAATTATGTTCAGTAAAATAGAACAACAAAATAATTAATTAAATAGAGAAAATCGGGCCTTATGTTTGTACAAGGAGACGAATTTCACCAAAATTGGTATTCACTCTTGCATCATGCTTGAAGGAATCAACATCTACTTGAGCACTCGAGATTGAAGAAAATCATAAACTTTTTTTTGGCAAAGTGTTTTGCGTATATAACTCATAATTTGCTATCTGTAAGCATAAATATTTTAGAGTCCGTGGTCCTTAAAATCTCTCGAAATTCAATATTGTATTATAGGTTTATAGGCACCAGTAGAAATTCATAGAAATATTGGGATATTACTAGAAAATCAATGAAAAGGAGTTAGTGATAGAATGAAAATTTTTAACACATTATCAAATCAGACAAACAAAATGGGGAAGAAGACATGTAAATAGTGCTCGTGAACCATCCAAGTTTAGAATTAATAAAGCTCTTGCGAACCATGAATAAAAAATTGAACCATAGAAATTTGACTGAGCATATTAACCGTTGAATCTAATCAAACTAGAGCTTTAGAAAATTAGGGATTGCATCATCCTATTCTCATAGGCATCATTACTGGTGCGCTTCAAATAAATTGAAATTAAAAAATACACAAATAAAAGAAATAGTCAAAGCATCAATTCATTAATTTGTTCATTGTAGCACACAATATTTCGCTCGTGAGACCTCCAATAGTTTCATTGTTGGATAATTTATATATTTGAATATTTCTGTAAATGTCTGTTGCGCATCCTTAATTTAGGTGGTACTCTTGTTTAAAAGGGTTAAATTTTTTATTTAGGTTATTGTTCTATTTGAATTGATTTATTATTTACATAATCACCACTCAATCAAGTCTTTTAGAAGCTACTCATCGGTTCACATGTATTTAGATCATTATTTTCATTTATTCACCAACAAAAAGAATGTATTGCAGTGTTGACTGAGCTAAAATTATTTCCTTCAATTTACTTTGGCTTACCTTGATTTCTTTTTCTGGCATTTAATTACTATAAAATCAATGAAAATAAGTTTGTGATAGTATGAAAATTTTTAACAATATTATCAAATCTGGCAGACAAAATGGGCAAGAAGATGGATAAAGAGAGTCCGTGAACCATCCAAGTTTAGAATCAATAAAGCTCTTGCGAATCATGAACCAAAAAACTAAATCATAGAAATTTGAGTGAATCATAGTAACCATCGAAACTAACCGGACTAGAGAATTATAAAATTAGCGATTGCATCCTATTATCATAGGCATCTTCTTTGGTGCATTCCAAATAAATTAAAATTAAAATGTTCACAAATAAAAGAAATTGTCAAAGCATCAATTCATTAATTTGCTCGTTGTAGCACACAATATCTCTGCTTGCGAGACATCCAATAGTTTCATCGCTAGAAAATTTATATGTCTGAACATTTATGTGAATGTATGTTGCACATCCTTAATTTAGGTGGTAGTCTTGGTTGGCTGAATTATGATATGATTTTGTTGTTTTTATTATCAAAGGGTTAACTTCTTATCTAGGTTAATGTTCTATTTGATTTGATTTACTATCTACATAATAACCACTCAATCAAGTTTTTTTATAAGGTACTCAGTGGTTGACATATATTCAACCATTACTTTTACTCATTGACTAGCAAAAAGAATGCACTGTAGAACTAACTGAGGGGCTGTTTGGTTTGTTGAAAATGAAGTACAATGTAAAATGTTTGTAGAGTACTGCTATTACATTGTATTCAAAATACTTCATGGTTGTTTGGTTCACTGTAAAGTAAACGTAAGACTTTATTTTTTTTTTTTGGTTTGAAGTAAATTGAAAATAATATAATAATTTACTTCGGAGGAGAGCAGAAGGCAGCGGGCGGCGGTGACGGGGGGTGGTCGAGCATGGTTGGCAGTGGCGGGTGTCGGGTGGCGGCCGACGGCCGACAGCTGGCGACGGGCAGTAGGGGGTGGAAACGGGCTATAGTTTAATGATAGTATTTTATAGTATAATTCAAATTCTGTCAAATTGACCGAATTCTAAATTCAGCCAAAATGAACTTAGGAGTGAACTTTAAATTCATTGAAACTTTATATGGTACTTGTACTTCCTCATACTAAACATAATTTTCTCAAATCCCTGTAAATGGGTTACAATACACCAGAAATCCTTCCAACCAATCAACTTCTGACCTAAAATTATTTCCTTCATTTTACTTTGCCTTATCTTGAATTTTTTTTGGCATTTATATTTATTTTTTAAACTTTAGAAAGTAGAGATCATATTTTCACCATGTTAAATGCTTTGCTGCCTGAGAAAAATAACTTCAAAAGCTCTTTTGAAAAATAAAAACCGAAGTATATAGGAGAGCATGGAACTAACTTCAAGGTCTATCGAAATGATGAGCTCATTGTGGACGAAATAAGAAGGTATAATTTGAATGTTACTACCTTTCATTTTGCTGGATAATTAATTTGCTATCAAAGCATTATTCTGTATCTTGGACAAAGGTTGATGGTTACTCTGATCTTCCAGGATGAAGCCAAGAGTCATACTAATATCTCCAGGGCCTGGTTAGTGCATCTAAAATATTTTGTGATTATTATTTTTCTTCATAACTCATTGATATCCCTAAATTCTTTTCTGCAGGCGCACCTAAAGATTCAGGAATATCCTTACTAACTGTTCTGGAACTTGGCCCTTCAATTCCATTGTGTGGAGTTGTCGGCACAAAAAGGGAGAAAGTTATGTTTGGGG